CAGGGACATGGATCCAACCCAAGGCCTCGGGCATTATGTCCTGTTTTTATTACGCTATTTGAAACACTGCACAAAGCAGAAAGGTGATTAAATGAGCAATGAACACAGGTTCTACCAATCTGCAGGAAGTCAAATGTGCCGTTGTTACATTCTAAAATGATTCATAACGTTAAATGGCTCTAATGACATGTAATTCCTATGCAAACCATTTCACCGATTTACGGTATATATCTCAGTGACATCTCCTCCGTTCACAAGAATTCCTTCCTTGAAGGCATTCCTTTTTCTTTTGAACACATAGCAAACCTGTGTTGAACTTTCAGAAATGGCTCTCCCAAGAATAGGCAGGCCCACTGTCTCAGAGATGCCCCAGTCCCACAAGGTACGTGTTCTCCCTCGCAGCTAAAGAGATTGTTATCATTTCGGGATTCCCATTTGGCTTCTGTTCTCATCACATGCAACAAATTTATTTTATTCCTTCAGTTAAGGCAACTGCTTTTCAGTCATAAAACAATCCAAGCACCCTGACAATAAAACAGTGTGATATAACTAGAAACAGCCCAAGTTACTCTTTTCTTGAGCCAGGACTTACTATGTAGCCTTGTTAGCTTCCAGCATGCCATCTTCCTGCCTACTGGCAAAAAGTGCTTAAACTACAGAGAGGCTCAAAAAATGGGTGAGGGCTTGTTTCTTAGGGACGAGGCCCTGGCTTCTAGTTCTAGCATTAAAAAAAAAAAAAAAAAAAAAAAAAAACACATATAACAAACAAACAAAAACAGCAGTTTCTAAATGGTACTGTAAAGCCACTCTGTATACCCACTCTGTTTTAGTTTCTCAATGTTTAGCAACTGTGCTGCAGCCAATCCAGGCAGCCTATGAGGGAACACAGCAACCCTGACATAGCACTAGGAATGACCTGACTGGGAGGATTAGGGATTCTGAAGCAGACAACTTAACAGTAAATTAACAGGTTTTTCTAAATCCTAGAACTCAACAGTTCTGAAACATCCTTGCTCCGTAGTTTAACATCCACTCAGTAGATGCTTCCTAAAATTGACAGTAGGACTTACACTGACAGCAGTATTACTTTTCCTTCTTAGTGGCACATAAAATAACCATGCATCTTAAGACAGCCGTGCCCTTAAAACCAATATGCCATCTAAAGCCAAGTTACCCTTAAGCATTCACTGGCAAGTTTATACTTATTTATATGTCAGTAGAGACCCCTAAGGCAATAGAGAAGAGTGCTCACTGTGGTGAAGCCACTCTCTGTTGCCAGGCAAGACTATGACCCAGAGAAGATAGGTCTCTCATCGTTTCCCCAAGCTTTAACACAGTATGGAGGCTGCACGAACGAAGGCTAAAAGTCAACTTTGGTCAAGGAGTGCTCGTATGCCACACACAATGTCTAGCTTAGTTTCCACTATCGTGAATAATCTTGTAGCTATGAAAACCTCTCAAGGTGCTTGGGCGAAAAGAGAGATCTGTCCGCATGCTTTAAAAACAACAGCAACAGGCCTACTCACTCGCTGAATGTTTTCACTGAAGTTCTCTTAGCTTGCATCCCTCAGCCAGAAATAACAGCATACCTTAGAGTTTTTAGTGAAGCATATGGTTAAGGCTTAGTACTCACTGCAAACCCTATGTGTACGGAATAAGAGATGCATCCAAGTCCCATCTCTCGTCAACCTGACCTTCACTTTTACTCCATTTGCTCATTCTAGCCACCAAAAGTATGTTAGGCAACACACCTATCATTTTGTTTGTTTTCGGATGTGGATTTTTGTTTTGTGGTTCATCTGTTGGCATTTGGTCCAAGCCGCCTCAACTTCACCATCCCTCCCTCTGCCTCCTACGTGTTGGGATACCACAGCTAATCTCTTCAGAAGGCTATCATTCAAACTCCTGATATGTCATCCAATAAAAAATAAATAAAGATACCTATCTCAGGTGTAATGAAAGATTTCAAAAAAGTAACAATAGTATTCATGAGTAAGCTATGCCAAAATGGGCTAAAAAAGGCCACAAATAAGCAAGCCAGCAAAAAAAGAGCCCTTCAAGGACCAAAGCCAGAGGCAGAAACTAGTCCAAACTGTTCTGATTCAAAACCAAATCTGATCCACAGCCATGAATATGAACTGTTGTTCCTTAGCTAATCCCTCCAACACCAAAACTCCTGATGGCAAATCCTGATTTTGGTTCCTGAAACTGACATGATTTAAATAAGAGTGAATATGAATTATCAATCACCCAAGGAAATTCAGCCGCAGTGCACAGCAAAAATTACATAGTAATACACCCATAGGAGGAAAACCTATAAATCATTCTCATTCCGTACACAAGCCAGAGCACAGGCTGATGCCCCAAGCAACAGGGTTTTTGCTCTGTCATCCTGCTAGGTTCTGGGTGAGCACCATGCTTGACTGATAGCGATAGAGAACTCAGCGGTTCTCTAAGATGGGACATGACTAAGTTCATTCCAAACGAATAATGCTTTCTGCCACTACTAAACACAAGCACGCATCTCCTTACAAGAAAACCCTGGGCACGGTGCCTGTCTTGCAGAGAAAGTACAAGTTGACTCCTGTCTTCAGCTAAAGGGTGTCATCCTGTGATACTTGAAGCCCACCAGTGCACCCTATTTAACACAACTTGACAAGCCCACAGTACCTTTCCTTTGGTTAGGCATTCCACTTTCAGAGCCTGTCAATTACTCCCATTTGTTTGCTTACAGACTAATTTGGGAGAATCCACAGACAAGTGAATTTAACAATTTGTTGTTAATATTCTATGGGAGCATTCTGTCCGTCTTCAATGGGCCCCCTGAACAGAGAAACCTCCCATACCAAACAAATACCTTGGAAATATGACGGCACTCGTTTTTCTATCGGGAAGAGAAAACTGAAAAAAAGATGGCACAGATGCGGCTTGTTTTGTGCCATGTATGATGCGTGTGTAACTAAACAGAGCCATCAGTAGCAAGACAATACACAATTGACAGTGTCTTCATCACCTCTTGCTCTCCCCCATTCAGTCCCTCTGACAACAGGCAGAAGTGAACAGTCACAGGCAAGCCCCGCCACACTGGGTCTATGCTCTTCGCTTCCACACCTCACACCAGTCAAGACCGGCAGTGATTCTCACAGACAAACGTGGCAAGGTGTGCCCCCGAGGTGCGTTCTGTCACTGGCTGCCGGTGCAAACAAAGCGGGCGCGCACAACGGCGACAGAAGGGATTCCTTTATGAAGATGCATTTTCCAAGACAGTCTCAAAATACTTCTTTCAAGGAGCTTTTTAAAAACAATCATGTTATTTTTAAAAATGAAGAGACCCTAAGATGAAACACAGCTGTCTTCATCTCCCTTGATACCTCACCCAGGAAGCTCTTTGTTTAGGAAAGTCAGTATCTCAGCACCACTGAGAGCTGGGACTGCCTTCCAGCTCCAGATGAGGAGCTAGGAGGAGAATCCTCTGGGTAAACAAAACAATTCCACTTTTACCCATCTCCAGGTAACAAGCGCACACACACACACACACACACACACACACACACACACACAATTCATTCTACACAGCATGGCAAATAATCAAAAAACACATCACACATTACTGGCATTGCGATCATTCTTTGACCACAAGCAGTCCAGCAAGCCTATCTAGCACCATCAAAAAAATAAAATCAACCCCTGCGTGCCCTGCCTACCACCGGACACCCATTTCATTTCACACTTAGGTAACACACACACACACACACACACACACACACACACACACACACACACCATCCATCATACCAGTAGGGAAGCTGCTGAAAGCAAAGCCATAACGTGTGCCTGTTTCAGATAATAGACTCTCTTTAAACCCCACCCCCATCGCCAGAGAAAGAGGGAACCTCAGAAAGAAAGGAGAGAGCGCAAGGAAGAGAAATCGAGAAAGCCCAAATTTCCAGGCATCCACTTTCCATGAAATGCACAACCAGGATAGGAAATACCTCCCAGCTGAGTAATGCTTCATGGGTTGTAAATTCACCTCTCGAAAGGGGAGCCAGACCTGGGCGCGCACCCCGCCAGATGGCGAGCCACTCCTACCTGCTCCATCCAGCCTGCCTGTCACTCCGCGCCCGCGACAAGCCTCCCACCCCCCTTTTTGGCAGAGCAACACACCAATAAGAGTCGAGAATGGCTGGTCGAGTGAGGGCTGAACCGTGATTTAGCTGGATCGTTTCAAAAGGGGGAGTGGGGACCGCGATGAGCGAGCGAGGTTTTTTAAAAACAAAGCCCTCTCCAGTCAAACCGACCGTTTGGGGGGTGTGGCTTGTTTAATTCGTTTTATTAATAAAAAGAGATCAATGGAGCTTTCTTCTCTCCACCCACCCCGGAGAATCCTCTGGATGGGGCGAGAAATGGCAGGGCTACCAGCGCTCCCTAAGTTTCCCGCAGCACCTGCCTCCTACCCGGATCACCTCCACACACCACCACAGGAGACTCCGGAACGCACAATGCCAGCTCCAGACTTTGCAAGACCCAGAAGCGGCCGCACGCAACTCTCCGGGTGTCCCCCCCTTCCCCCAACCCCTAACTCTAGCCGGGATCTGCACACACCCGCTGCCGAGCGCCTACTAGCAAGAAAAGTCCCGGGGTAGGGGTGGGGGGACGCCACTAGGTTCCCCAGCAGCCCCCAGACCGTCTGCGCCACGCAGATACCCCAGTATCGACCCAGACGTGACACACGTCACGGACTCCTGGCTGCAGGGGCATAAGCAGGAAAGTTGCCCAACAGCCCCGGGAGACGCGGCTGGCGGAGGAAAGGGACCCGCGGGGCAGCGGCGCACGCGCCCTCCGCCCACCCCAAGAGCTCCGGGCGAAGAAGCGCACCGCCGGGGTGAAGAGGGAGGACCAAGCCACCCAACGGCCGGGAGCGCTCTGGATCGAAGGATTCCCGGACGCTCGCAGAGGAGCGGCCCCGTCCCCTCTCCGCAGATCCCCGGGCAGGAACTCACCTCCTCTTCCGAAAGTCCGTAGACCGGCTCCCCGAGCCCGGTCGCCATGGAGCCGGCGCCCCGCGCACACGGGGTCCTGACCGCAGCGACGGGCTGAAGTGCGTCGCGGGACCGCGACCCTCTGTCCTTCCGCGCCGCCCGGCGGGGAAGGGCCGGCAGGTGAGTGCTGCACCCGGCCGCGGCGCCGCTTCCTCCCGGAAGGCTGCGGGGACGCGCGGACCGCCGGCTCCGAGAGCGCGCCGGACGGCGGCTGGCCCGGAGCTCTCCCCGCTCGGCGCTGAGCCCGCCGGGCTCCCGCCCCCGCCGATGGCTCTCCCGGCCTCCCCCCCAACCAAGCCCGCTCGGCGATCCCCGGACCCGCGCGCCCGCCCCTCGCCTGCTCCGCCCGGCCCGCCTGCGCCGCCCCGGCGCCCGCGGGGACCCTCCCGCTCTCCGGGGCGGGCACTGGCGCCCCCCAAGCCAATCACAGGCCGGGCTGGGGGGCGGGCCGCGGGGGTGGGGGTGGTTCGCCCCACGCCCACCCCACCCCCGCTCCTCCTGGGTCACCGGCCGCAGAGCGCCGAGCTGGGGCGCGTCCGGTCGGGCTGGGCCTGCTGGGCTGACCCTCCCGCTTGCTCCGCTTCCCTCTGCTCGGGGGACCCGGTGGACCGGACTTTGCGGGGCCGTGAGGACCCAGTGCAAACAACAACAAAACCACTGTGTCCATTTTTATCTTTTTTTTTTTTTTTCTCTTAACCCAGGATCTCCGAGAGCGTTAAAAGAGGGCGACGATCGGTGTTTCTGGACCCTCTTTAAATTCTTGGCAGCTGTGGCAGGCCAGACTTGGCTAACAGTGTCAATTCCCCAGAGCGATCGGCCTGGCCGGGCGGCCAGCCGAGGAGAGGCTGCCCCGGTGTGGCCGCCGGTCGCCATTGCCGATGTCAACTCTACTGGGAACAAAACCAACTCTGCGCCCGCGCTGAGTACACACCCACCCACTTGAAACCCGGCTGCCTAGTTCTTTGATAAAAGCTCCGGGTTTTTTTTTTTTTTGTTGTTGTTGTTTTGTTTTTTTGTGAGGCACAACGTGAAATACCAAATTTAAGTTTAAGTTTGTCCTTTACATAGGCAAACGATGGAGACTTATTAGCCACCGCAGGAGTCTTCCCACGTTCCAGTTAGGGAGTTTCTCTAACAAGCCCTTCATTTAATCCTTCGATGTACAGGAATGCAAGAGGCTTCTTTAAATAAGAAATTCGTCACTCTGCTTTTTTTTTTTTTTTTTCTTCAAGAAGCCTTTGCTAGGAGACGGGCGAGTTGGTGCACGCCTTTAATCCCAGCACTGGGGAGGTTGAGGGGGATCTCTGTGAGTTCGAGGTGCAGACAGGTCTGCATAGTGAGTTCAGAACACCCAGAGTTATATAGAGAGACACTGTCTTAAAAAAAAAAAAAAAAAAAAAAGGAGAAGAAGCCTTTTGTTCCTAAAATGTTGAGTGCAGTGGTGAGTTAGAAAAGAAAACAGGAAGAACATGCTGTTTGCCTTTAAAAAGAAATCACCAGTGTCTGGTATTGTCTGGGTGCTTAGGGTTTCCACCAAAGGAGGCAAGGATTCACACGATCAACAGACACAGCTGGCCTGCCCCAGCTTAGTGAATGACAATCTGCTGTGCACGCTGCAAATCAAAAGGAAAGGTGCTAGCACCAGCCCCAACGCCAGCTCTCTTTCCTCCCTTGCAATGTGTCCTCTAGTTACGACTTTTCTTTGAAGACACATTGCTCAGAAGCCTCGGAATTCAGAGCCATTCAGTCTGTATAGTGCTTAGGAACAGAAAGAAAGAGAGAAAGAGGAAGGAAGAAAGGGCAAGGAAGGAAGGAAGGTAAGACAAGAGAAAGTTTATTACAGATATGTGGGAGAACATAGCCAAAGGTTATCAGAGAGTCCAGAATGGGCATGACCCTGAGCCGTTAGAGGAGAGAGGGAGGGGAAGAGAGAAAGCAGAGCAGCTGCCAACTAAGAGACTAGCCAAGAGGGTTGATGAAAAGATCAGGAAACTAAAATGGCTGGATTATGTAGGGAAGGGCAATTGGCGGAAGGGAAGCCTAGCCCCTGGGCTGGAAAAGTTTAGGGTAGAGAGTGGGGTATGCCAGCCATACCCTGTAACAGGTAGGGACTGAGGGATGCAGGGAGAATCTGGCGGCCAGGTCCCCTTTTATATTTTAAATGGCATTTCTTCCATTTGTCCAGGGTTTGAGACCCAACAGGAGCCACAAGATCCCTTCTGAGGAAAAAAAAAAGAAAAAGAAGAATTGTGAAAGAGAATATCACAGAACTCTGCTGTCCTGTGTTTTTACAATTTATCAAACCTAGATTGTTTTTCTCGTTAATAAAAGGTACACACAGAGAAATATTTTAGATTCCCTTCTTTATACCTATGAGCCATCTAAACAGGAGTCATTGCTTCTCACCATATACAAGCAGGCCTTTGTCACATCTGCAGTTTATGTTATGTTATAGGCAAGAAGAACAAGGTAGTCAACTCTTTACATTTCCTGAAACAGAACCGTGTTTCTGGGGGCTTGAGAGATGATGCCGTAACAGGCCCACCCTTCTGCAAATGCCTATAACTCCAGCTGCAAGGGCTCAAATGAGCTCTGCTGCCTTCATGCGTGTGCATACACATGGACTCATGCAGGCACACCCATGTACAGAAAACAAATCTTAAGAAAAATCATCATTTCTGATCTTAGCGGTGAGGCTGGCTTAAAAAAAAAAAACTATTCTCTCCAAATTGAAGTCTTAAGGAGGACTCCTTAAGACTGCCTCAGAGGGTTGTGAGGCTTACATAAAAACAGTTACATAAAAACAGTAAATTGCTGAGGGGAATGCCAGCACTGCCTAGAAGTTGGGCAGGGAGCTCCAGGGAGACAGCTTTCAGGAGCTGCTTCGCATGAAGGTATACCTGGGCCTTTCCACGATGTAGCTGATTCCGAGTCACCCATGCTCCTTTGAGTAATACTAGAGAAACTTTCATCAGGTCTTTTCTGAGATGAATGTACACCTTTTCATCTCTCCCCAGGAAACGTCATACAACAGGTAGAGCCATCTGGACACTGTAGAGGGGTGTCATACTTCCTCCATCATCCCGCTCCCTCCCTATGCCCAGCACAACAGCCTATGCCACCTGCAGTCTGGGTCATGCCCTTGAGGTTCACTGCGGGATGGATGTTGGGACTGGGGCATGATTGTGATCCAAATACGTGGTGAACGTGTACTATATCTAAGAACTAATAAAAGTTTATATTAAAATATATGTAGGAAATGTGCTGTGTGTCATTTATTATGGACAATTTACATGATCTGTATGAATGACCTGTGACATCACTCAACATCCTCTGTCAACAGGCTCAAATGAAACATTTACCCGAGATCTATGAGGGAAACCTTTCTGTTCACACTGTATGTGACAAAAAAAAAAGTTTCACTTGATTGTGTGTGTGTGTGTGTGTGTGTGTGTGTGTGTGTTTAAGTTAGTTTGGCTCCTGGGAGATGCCGAGCACTAAGCCATAAAAGAACACCCTAAAAACTATCATTGTCCTTTGCAGATGTGTCCCAGCTTTCCCGCAGTGCGGTGGTCTTGTACGCTGAATGCACGTGAGGAGTGTCTGGGGTCCTCAGAGGGGGGGTGGATCGGGTGTCAGTGTCAAAAGTAGCAGCCCTGGTGACTCCTGTGCAGGTTAGCCTGAGGCCTTACCCATATCCTAAGCCAACAACTCCCAAACTGATACCCAGAGAAACACCTGGGGAGCTATCACCCCTGTTCGTGTAAATAATATTGGGGTCCTTTCAGAGTCAGTTTCAAAGCTCTCCAGATGATTCCAAATCGCAGCAAGGGGTAGGAACCCCTGGACTGGAGTTTCATTTCCGCAGTTTTACATTTTGATTATTTGTATTCTCTCTCTTTTTCACTTTAGAAGAAACTCTGCAGCACAAACACACACAGCTTGTTTAGGGTAAGATAGCATGTGAACATCTATCCTTTCTTGTAGAATATCCATCAGAATTGCCAAGGCATCTTGGCTAGTTTGTGGGTGGATGGACAAGGTTAGCTATGAGAAACTAACTGAAGGGCACCCTTAGCTAAAACAACTGGTTTCTTCCTCTCAGTGGCATGTCTACTCAGAAACCATACAGGGCTGTGGCTTCTTCTCTAGAAGCTATTGCATTTTGTCTTTGACATCTTAGATTTGATACTGTAGGGGTGTTTGGCACCTGATCTTCACAGGGATCATCAGGAATGAAGGATGAGCAAGAACAACTTTCAGATGCAAGGGGTCATCACAAACAGGGAGCATGTTAAGGCTGAGCCAACCATTTGCAGATTATTGAGCTGTCTGGCCAAATTCTCTGCATCTTAATCCCATCTGGGAAAAAGTAAGAGCAGATTAATAAATAATACTGCAAGTTTGCGAAAGTTTATCAGCTAACACTGATTTTTACTAGTGGCTAAGTTTGCCGGAGTAAAACATGTCGAAAATGGCTACATGCTTTGAAAATTGATGTCACACTAGAGCTTTGCAACATCCCTTGGGGCACAGAAAAATCTCGAAAAATTAAGGTGTTTGTGATTATGTAAAAGAAAAATAACTATCATCCATGTTTTTGACAGTTACAGACACAGGTAATAATGAATGATTTGCAGATAAGTACTTTGTACAAAAATAGCTAGGGTTTTATAAGGTTTTAGGAAACACATTTTGAAAATCTGTGTACCGCTATTGATTCTGACACTCTAAAAATATTAAACTACCGAGATCTAGATGTATGGTTTCTTACTTTTTTCCACTGACAAAGCATCTGACTGGCTGTGTGAGTGATTTCCTCTTCCAAATCATTATTTCTAAGATACATACACCTGTTCCATGTGTTACTACTGTATATTCTTTTCCTTTTTTGAAAGTTTGTATTAAGAAGTGTTCTTTTGTTTGTTTGGTTGGTTTGGTTTTTTGAGGCAGGGTTTCTCTGTGTAGCTTTAGCTGTCCTGAATGCAATTTGTAGACCAGGCTGGCCTCAAACTCAGGGAGATCTACCTGCCTCTGCCTCCCAGAGTGCTGGGATTACAGGTGTGTGCCACCAGGCCCAGCAAGAAGCGTTCTTTCCATCGACTTCTCAACTGCATTTCTGCCCTTCTGCTGGTTAACGTGTGAGCCTGTTTCTATTCCTTCACAGGTGGCACTAAATAATCTACCTGTGTGCATAATGTCACATCACCATTCTGAGAAATTAAAAAAAAAAAAAAAGTTTAAAACATTGTGTTTTGTTTTCATTTTGTTTACTGGTTTTGGTTCATTTATCTTATTTTAGCTTTTCTGAGACAGGGTTTCTCTGTGTCACTCTGGCTATCCTGGAACTCAGGCTATAGACGGGGATGGCTTGGAACCAGAAATCCACCAGCCCCTCCCTCCCAAGTGCTGGGATTAAAGGTGTGCACCACAATGCCTGGCTGTTTGTTTGTTTGTTTTTGTCTGTCTGTTTCTGAGACAGGTCTCTCTGTGTAGTCCTGCTGCTCTTGAACTCACTGAGATCCACCTGCCTTTGCCTCTGAGTGCTGGGATCAAATGCATGTGCCACCATGCCCAGGTAAAACATTGTTGTTGGGTTTTGCTTTGTTTTTATTTTTTCTGATTCCTTATGCAGTATTGATATAAAGTTTCATTCTGAATTATACTTGTGATGCTGAGTATTAACCTAGAGCCTCACAAGTGCAGGTCAAGGGCTCTACCATAGGGATACACACCAGCCCTCTTTCCAGACTTCCTTCCTTCCCACTGTCCCTCCCTCTCTCTTCCTAAAACATTGGACATTATTATTATACAATGTTTAAAGCTTTTCCAACACAGTTTTCAGTGCTTTTCCCCATTTGGGTTCCTTGCTGCTTTTTATATGTTCCTTTAGGGTCATTTTTTCTTTTCCAGAGGTTTGTCCTTTTAAGTCACTTTGTAAAGAATCAACAGGGATAAACTCAAACTTCATTCATCTGGAAATATCTACTGTTGTCCCTGACAGATGATGAGATTATGCAAGATCCAAAGCCCTTGTGGAATATGTCTCAGACTCAGCGGCTTGGAGCTATTTCTCTGAAATCTAACTCCCATTTTTAAAGATGAATGCACAGCTCTTGGTTTAATTGGGTCGCCATATCTGCTTTCAGGATCTCGGTGTTCCAAACTTTCTGTTATTTCTCCTCATACGATTTTGTTGTTCCTTGCCTCATACCCCTTGCACTTAAATGGATTTCAATCTTTAATCACCTCCAGAGAACACTTGGCTCTTATGCCTTCATTTAGCCTTCTCTTTGTTCTCCTCTTCTAGGGCTCAGCTAATTACATATTGTCTTTCCATTCTCCATCTCTTAACTAACTTCACATAGTCTAGCTCCTTATCTGTGCTAAGTTGCAGATGAATTCAACTCTCTCTCTCCCACTTCACTAAATAATTACTTCATTGAGTCTATCTGTTAACTCAGCAGCTGAGTTTTGATTGAACAATTATAAGATCTTTGCAATCTTTTTCAAAACAATTTCATCATTCATTTTGCTTGTTTTAAGGGGGATATTAGCCTCATCATTCTTGATAGTTTCTGATTTTGTGTTTCTATAGTTTATTTTTAACTCCTTTTTTTTTTTTTTAACACTGCTGAGGATTAAGCTCAAGGGCCCTAACATGCTAATCAGGTGCTCTACCACTGAGTTATAGCCCCAGCCTTTTGATCAAACATTTCATAACTTATTATTAATTAACTGTTATGTTTGTTGAGACAGGGTCTTGTTCTAGCCCTGGCTAGCTTAGAATTCACTCTTTAAACCAGACAGGTTTTGAACTTACAGCAATCTTCTTGCCTGTCCCTCCTGAATGCTGCAATTAAAGGTATGCCTCACCATGCCCATCATCTTAACTAACATTTATATAGTTTTCCAATTTTAATATCCAAAAATTTGAGTGGTACCATCCTGTTGGGAGTTGGTCTGATGCTATGTATTTTGATGCCAATTACTGGCCCCCAAGATCTGGTTGTCACCCAGACAATTGCATTCTCACTTACGTTGGTCTTTGTTGTGTAAACTTTGCTCCACCTAATTTAAAGTTAATTGGTTAATAAAGTTGCTGACACCCCGTGACTGGGCAGAAGAGAGGCAAGCAGAGCTTAGGTTCCTGGGTTGGGGTCTGAGAGGGACCATGAGGCCAGAAGGAGAGGAGGAGAGAGTGGAAGCCAAAGAGAAAGAAATCACCACAGGGCAGTATGGGTCATGAGCACGTGGCCATGAGGGCTGGCCTGGCAGAACAAAAGTAGCCCAGACAGGAATGAATAAGGAAAGTAACTTGAGGTATAGCTGGAAAATAGCAAAATAGCTTTAAGGGTTGATACCTGCCCACTCACTGTGCTGTGAAGCTCTTATGAATCCACGAAGTCTCTGTCTTGATCATTTGGGAACTGACCAGGGTAGAGAAGCCCTCTAGAATCTAGTACTCCTTCCACCTTTCAGTGTTTCTGCTGACTCTCGTGCACAGTAGCTCCATTTCATATTTGATTATTGCAAATTCATTTGATCACCATCTTATTTAATGCCAGTCCCCTGTAATCAAAAGTAGATTTAAGTTTACTTCTAAACCTAAGAACAAGGGAACAATACCACCCAGGCAATATACTTATCCCAGTTGAGAAGTATCTGGTTCAGCGTCTAGCTGAAGACTCAGTCCCACCCTCAACAGCAGTCTGGGTGTGGGGAGCATTTGCTTACTTACCGCTTCCTTGAGTCTAGCTGTATTTTTCAGGATATGGGGCCATGACATCTCCGTCTGTTCCCTATCTCTTTTAAGTGTTCCTGCCCCAGTGATAGTGACCTTATCCGTGTATTTACATACACTACTGTAAGTAGCAGCAGTATGGCCAGCTCAAAACAGAGACCATTAGCTGTACAAGTTTGCACCGCCACTTGAGAGCTCCTGCCTTCCGCCAGCAGAGTATCACAGCCTAAGAGAAGCTGTTCCTTAAGCCTGAATGATGAAGCACGTTGTTTTCAAAATGGATGTGAGCCTGTGATTGTGTCTATTCACTGCCAGCATGAGAGCACCTAGGATCACCTAAGAGATGTAGCTCTGGGCGTTTCCAGGCAGGTTTCGCCTAGGAGACCCACCTTGAAAGCGGGCAGCACCATCCCGTGGGCTGCCATCCTAGACAGAATACGAAGGGGGAAAGGAGAAATTCCGCTGAGCACCAGCTCATCTCTCAGTCCTGACTGAGTATAATGCAGCCAGCTGCCTCTTGCACCGGCTGAGCTGCTCTCACCACCATGCCTTCTCTGCCAAGATGGTGCCCTCAAACTAGAAAAACCCTTCCTAGGATAAGTTGCTTACCAATAAGTTGCTCCGTCAGTTATTTGTCACAGAAATGAGAAAATCATCCAACAAAATCAAACATCGGGTTATTATTTTTGAGAAATCAGGAAGCCTGATAAGTAATTTCACAAATTACCAAACAAACAAACAGAAACAAAAACGTGGTGGCTTAAGACAGTAGAAAGCCATTCCCTTATAGTTCTGGAGGGAAGGAGCTCAAAATCAAAAGTGGCTGGAAATGTGGCTCAGTTGAAAAGTTCAGGCCTAGCTTCCAGAGGCCCTGGCTTGCCCCACTGAACCTAGTAAAATAGAATCATGGCTTACAGGCCTGGCATGCCGGCATTCCAGAGGGTGGATCAGGAAGACCAGAAGTTCAAGGTCATCCTTGGCCTCAGACATTTCCAGGCTAACCTGTGCTACATGAGACTGTGTGTGGAAAAAAAGAGAGTCAGCCAGATGGTTTATTGGGCAAAAGCACTTGTTTTGCAGGCCTGCTGTCCTGAGTTCCATTTCTGCAATCTAGAGTGAAGGGAAAGCGCTGACTTTCTGACTATCCTAAAAGCCAATTATCACCAGCTTGAGTCATCCAGATGTGCCTGCCTGCAGCAGATCACCCCAGCTAGGCTTGCCTACTGTTTGCATTCCCTCTTAAGAGTGTGGGGAGGGTAGTGAGACTCTTACCTGAGTATCCAGCCACTCTGTTAGCTGTTGTGTGCACGTGGCCTCAGGGAGGGGCTAGTGCTACAGGCCGGAAATGGGGAGACCACGGGAGGACTCCATCCACATTGTTATGGAAAAGTCCTCCTTCCGGCTGAGTAAAGACATTTGACTTCAGTCTTTTGGGAGAGATGTATCCACACCCTTGTAGATAACGTGCTCTGTAAGGAAGCCCAATAAACTCATTGGTTCCCAGCGTAAAGTTCGGTGGAATAGTGCCTTTGGGACCGTAGAGGGGGGCGGTGTTTATGTCTCCCCGTGGGAAGGAATTTTAGCAAGAGTTGTCCTCTGACCCTCACAGGAATGCTGTCACACTTGTGCAATCCATCCCCCACCCCACCTCACCCCACCTGCTCCCCAACGCAGTCCCATAAGTATGCACCTGTGCACTCACACATCCATACAAAACAATAATAAACGAAATGGAAAGAGATCCGGGCCCAAGCCAAGATGCTGTGACCTTTTCCGGGTGTGAAGGGAAGAATCTGTGATTTAGCCTTCTGGCTTCTGCAGGTGAATTCCTGCGTTCCTTGGCTCACAGCCCTGAATGCAATTTTAGAAGCCAGTGGCATCTTCAAGTTCCTCTCTGCTGGGTCCAATCTCACCAACTGTTATTCTGTTCACAGACAGACTTTCTTTGCCTCCTTCAGATAAGGACTCTGGTTATTTTATTTAGGATCTGGGGTAACCACTCCATCTCACGATAATGTTATTGTTTTCCTTTTCTCTCTTCCGTCCTGTTATTTCTTTCTAGCAGGGCCTCGCTAAGTAGCCTAAACTGACCTACAAGTCAGTCCTGCTTCATTAGCCTCCTGAGCTGTGGGATTGCAGGCCCATGGCACCACACAGATTCTTAGGGACACGTGATAAGACCTCCCACGGGGTAACGGAACTCTCAGAGGTTCCTGAGTTCCTGTCAGGGTGTCTTTGGAGGTCATTATTTAGCCAATGAAAATGAGACATGGCAATACACTTCTGTCTTTGGTTTTCTGCATGCCACCAGTGCTCTGCGGTTTGGGTTTAGTACTTGGGGGAGATTAAGGGTAATTACTTAGATTCCTCCCCCCACTTCCCTTGTATTTGTATTTTCCAGAGGGGAAAAACAAATAATGATTCCTTCAACCAAAAGCCAAAACAGGGACAATTTTGATAAGCTCATTGATTATTTTTTTTTTAAGTATAATAATTATCTTAGTAACCTGAAAAAATACATCTTTTTGCTTTAGGACTCTTAATGTTCCCCTAATAAAAATGTAAAGTATACCTCAAAGGATGCTCTCTGCATACATTATTTTTATTAAATGCAGGATGACCAAGGGAAAGCAATTAAATGACTCAACTAACATTTCCTAAGCTGCCACTGACAAAGCCAAATAGCTCTCTGCTGAGCAGGCGGGGTTGGAGTGAAGAGAAGGAAGAAGACATACTGGAGTTACTGGATTCACATATTTGTAGTGCTTTATTATCACAGAGGCTTTGCAGCCATCGGGACAAACCAAAGCAACCCCCAGCTAATAGTGGGAGATAAGTGTCCTGGTTTTCTCAATGAGTTTTTCCATCTCTAGCCTCAAATGCAATCCTGTGTGCTCACTGCCTGCCGAACACTCTTGCTCCTTTGGGGGGGGTCCTTCTGGCTTATGGACTTTTCTTTCATTGTGGTGATGATGTTAAGATGGAATCCTATCACAGATGATTTCTCATAGCCTGAGATGTTGCTAGCAGCATCTCTGTTAATCTGCATCCCTTCTGAGTGGCCTTCAATGGAGCACTGCAGACAGTGGTGAGCAGTTTCTTCATTTTCCTAAGGAGGACAGGATTAAAAACACAGGAGAGGAAATGAACAAAGGATCGAGTGCTGTGGTGCTTAAATAATAATGAGCCCTATAGGCTCATGTATTTGAATGCTTAGTCACCAGGGAGTGGCATTCTTTGAAAAGATTAGAAGGATTGTAAGGTGTGGCCTTGTCAGAGGAAGTATATGATTGGGGGTGGACCTTGAGGTTTCAAAAGCCCATACCAGGCCCAGTCTCTCTCTCTCTCCTTCCCTCTCTCCCTCCCTCCTTGCAGATCAGGATGAAGCTCAGATATCGTTACAGCACCATGCTTGTTACCATCCTCTCTGCCAACATGATGATGGACTGACCCTCTGAAACTGTAAGCAAGCCCCCAGTTAAACGCTTTCTTTTATAAGATTTGCCAGGGTCATGGCATCTCTTCACAACAATGGGACGGTGACTAAGACAACGGGAAACCTTTTGGAAGACAGTGAGGAAGCTAAAGCTCCCACATACTGCTCCCTGTGGAAAGTGGTCATTGTCTAGCAAATCACTGTGTCGTTTGCTTAGTCCAGAAATCCCTTTCTGAGACTATCTGCACTGCAAAATATGAAGTGACACGCACATTTCAAATATCAAAAGATTAGGAGCCATCTCAAATGGCCATCGATTGAGAAGCTGCTGAACCTATTATCAGTACATCCATTCAGCAGAACACTCTGTAGCTCTAAAAAAAAAAAAAAAAAAGAATGAGCATTCTCTCTATACTGATATTGAAGACTCTTAAGGCTATGTTAAACAAGCAAATCAACATGCAGAATCCTATTTATACTAGGACAGTATCTGTATGCCAATGACAAGACTTAACCAAGGTCCAGAAGTACAGGTGAGAAGGCCAGGGCTTTGTGTCTTGGCAGTTTGTTTCAGCCTGGCTGGGGACTTTCACAGAGTAAGTAAGCTAAGGCCACGTGTCCTCTTGACAAACAGCCAGTTTCTGCCAGTTAGATGTTAGTGAAGCTGAAGGGAGTTAGGAAGAACACATCCTTTGCAAACTAGTTTACCACATGGAAATCCCAGTATGTGTCACTGGTCTACCCCTACGCAGGAGATACGGGAGAAGGCACTGGAGACTAGTTGATAGCCCCATCCACAGGACTAGGTGACATGAAGAGGGGAAAGATCCACTGAAGAAAGGGGAGACCTGACCACAGGGGGAAGAGGAAGCCGCCATACACTGGGACTTACACAGATGAGACCATGGGCAAAGGTCATTTTTTTTTCCATTTTCAGAATTCTAAACAAAATGTGTGAGAACCAAGATGTGGCCCCTGCTGTGTTCTGGAGGATAGAAGTGTCTATTAGCATTTTCAAGATGCATCTGTGACAGTATTCGGTGTTTTGAATTTAGCTAACATGGGAAATTATGTGTTAATTGGCTTCTGGTTGTTCTGTTTCACTAACTAAAGCTTTAGTGACATGATGCTGCAAGAAATAGAGTGAAGTGTTTTTGTAGTGAAGCAGATGAGCATGTCCAGCCCTCGTCAAGTTCCTGGAGTGAATCCTCTACTCACTCTACCATTTGCTCCTTTCTGTTGTGTGACCTCTGTCTCTCCATTGGATGTACAATTTAGACTGCAAAGACAGAAGAGAAACGTTAATATTGGCCAGCTTTCCTACCAGCTAGCCCTGCCCTCGTTCCCTGCTGTGGCCTCACTGAACTCCCCTGAGTGGCTGTAATGGAGAGCAGAGTGGGAGGCGTGGGTGTTGCTTACTGGAAAGGAGCTAATGACCTTGGAAGCACTTTGGGATTCACAGAGATATTTCCAGCCAGCTTTGTAACCACATACACACGCACCACCACCACCACCACCACCACCAGAACCATCCCAGCCGTAGCATATCCAAGGAGAGGTATATAAATAAAAGTTAAATTTCTGTGCCTGGAAAAGCTATGGATGGCTCAGGGAACTGGGGTTCTCTGGCAACTTCCTACATGTTTCAGCAAGGGCTTGTAAGGCTAGCTGCTGACACCTGTTTTTACGAAAGCCATTCCTCCTTCTTTCCTTTTCTCCTAAAACATCTCTGACCAGAGCTAGAGAAATGTTCTGCTTCCTACAGCTGAAGTGGAGCCTGGGGAAGTGGCCTTGTGATAGGCAGTTCCCAGCAACCCTGCTGGCAAGTAGCCACTTACACCACAGGGTCCCCTGGATCTGCTGGGAGAGGTCTCCCCTCCAATTAGTGTGGAACAAACAGACAACGGAAATTTCCCATAATCATGTAAACTCGGGTCCTTTAACAAATCAGAAATCTGCTGTGTTGTATAGCACTGGTTACTCTATGCTGGTACTGCAACCCATTAAAAATGCATTCCTTTCCTTTCAGATTTGTGACAAGGCTTTAAAAATTGTAAAGCTCCTCTCTTCCACACCATGAGTGAGCGTCAATATTAGATCCACCCCCGTGCTGCTTTCCTGGCCCCTGGGATACAATGATGAATATATAGCATGGTGTTCCTTGACTCCTGGCTTCTCAAGTTTTTGTCGTCCCCTAACCCCCAGCCATTCCTTCTTTGTTTCCTTGTTTGAGGCAGTTTCTCTATCTAACCCAGGCTGACATAAATTCTTGAACGTCCTGCCTCACGCTTCTGGGTGCCGGCATTAGGGACTTATGGCACTATGCTTTAAATCTTTGTTTCTGGTGGCCTCCCTCTCCCTGCCTACAGCCTATAATTTATCAATCCTCCAACCTGCTGTACATTCGAATTCAGTAATTCCGACACTGTCTCTCTGGTCCCGACCTTCTCACATCGCAGTCACCATCTTATTCCATTCTCTCCATTTTCTCCCAGCCCTGAGGCCTCTTGATCTGAACGTTACCATCCTCTCATTTAGCTTAAATTTCAGTCTCACATTTCAGCTTCTCTCTTGCTGTGAATCCTAATGTCTGGTCTCTCTGTCTTCTGCTGTTCCTGCATTCCCAGTCCTGAGCCTGAGTGGCTGAAGATTGTTGACAAGAAGAAGGTATCTCAGGAGCCCTTGACACTGTGAACTTGAAGTGGCTATCTTAACCTGCACCCTCTGTTAGGATATGTTTAAAAGTATGCCATGCATATGACAGATCTGGTATGAAAGATATTTATTGGATGGAGAGAGGGAAGGAGAGACAGACAGAGAGTGAAAGAGAGAGAGAGATGGTTTGGGGAGGGGCACTCCGACAGTGAGAGGGGAGAGAACAAGAGAGGAGCAAGAGAGAGGGAGTAGCAGACCAACCACTAAGTCCCTGGGCCGGATGATGTCATAGGACGCAGGTACTGACATAGGACACATAGGACATTGTCAGGACCCTAAAGGCAGGCCAATTGAATTTCCTGCACAGCATGACACCCTCCTTGCCCTTTCTCTTCCATTCCCTTCCAGATGTGACATGGGTTCTGATTTTCAGGAGAAAAACCAAACCACACAAATGTTCCCCATGGCCACACGTAGATACAAACCCTTTACACATGTGCTTGTACAACCCCTTCCTTCTTTGTCCTGTCTTCCATGAGAAAGCCAGGATCCCTTCCTACTCTCTCACCTGCTGGATCCTTTCCACCCACATTTCAGTTGCTTTCCGACCTACACAAAATACAAAGGAGCCCTTCCCTGACTTTCTTGCAACCCCTTTATAATCCTTACCGTGTCACTCATCTTCACAACTGAACGTCTACCTTTGCCATCTATGCTTTTACACCTATGTTGTTCTTGCTCTCGACCTCACGCTGACATTTCTTTCATTGATTTCATCATAGATGTCCTTAAACCAGTGGATACATTTTTGTCTGTATTTGTTCTCTCAATGGCATCCAACACAGAGATCTCTTTGTTTCTCTGGAAACTTCCTGCCATAATTCTTGGGTTCACTGACATCAAACTTACCCAGCCACCCCTCTATTGTCTGGATTCTCCTGTTCAGTTCCATCACAGTGTTTCCTCTACCATCCATTGAGACCCCAGAGCCTCATTGTACATCTCCCCAATTCCTTCTGTTATCTATTCTCTCACTTCAGTGGCCTCTTCACCAACAATTCTGAAATATGCATCTTCACCCCAGCTCCCTTCTGAGTTTCGGCCTGTGTGTATTCTTAAAACCATTTAACCACATGGTAGCCACTGCTGAACACAGCAAGTTCAATACACTGTTCACTGAATATACCATCTCTCCTACCCACCTGCTTTCAGAATAGGCAATATGACGAGAGACAGAAGGCTGAGAGACAGAAGGCTGAGTGGCGAAGATCAGTGTGGGAATGGAGGTAGATGGTAGAACGCTGAGAAATGGCTTTAAAAAAAAAAAGAAAGAAAGAAAAGTGAGATAAAAGGTTTTAACCAGGATCTGAAGTGTTTGTTTACCCTTGCTTTCTTACTCCATCTAAAGCCAAGTTCCTCTTTGCTTAAAGGGACACAACCCTCCCACTTCTCTGATTTGGATGGCCGACTCTGTTCCCTGAAGTCACCTACAGCTGACCCAGACTTAGGCTGGGTGTCAGAACTCCCAGCCGCACACAATGATTGGATCAGGGGTGGTCAAATGTCCCTAGTGGGGCTCCTAAGATAGTGCAATAGTTGAGTCTACAGTTACTGGAGCCATCTTTACCACTGAATGGGAGTGAGCTGCCTAAGATGGTGCTGCCAGAGAAAGAAATCACACGCGGATTTTAGAAAACTTAAAGAAAACTCACTCTAGCTGTAGGTGTAGCTTAGTGGTAAGCACACCTTTGAGTACCATCTGGATGGAGGAAGACAGACAGGAAGAGGAAAGTCATGTTCAGCCACTATGTACAGAGTATAATGGGTTTTTTTTTTTTAATCTAACACTGATTTGCTATATGGTCCAGGTTGACATTGAACCTGTGGATTCCCAGCCTCAGCCTCCCAAGTGCTGAGATTACAGGTGTATGCCACCACTCCTAGTTGGTTTGGATCTTAAGTGCCCCCTATAGGCCAAGTGTTGAAGATTGACTCCCCATTCTTGTCACTATTGAGAC